CAATCAGTTGTTGCGCTGGGGGCCGCGGGTTCGAATCTCGCACGGAACAAATATTTGTATGGCCTACAAATAATTGTTCCGGGTCTGGATGTTTGTCCTTGTGCAATTTATGTTTGTAAACTGCTTCCACGACACAGGAGATAATCCTAGTGTGGGGGTAACGTTTTTTTACAATTGAAATTGAAAGATTGAACCCTTATACTTCTTGTTGATTTTTGTATTACTTTTATTAAATTTACCCTTATGTATAAATAAATATAATTACGTATGTAGAAATAAAATTGATTTTCATCCTCATCAATCATTGGGGTGAGGATAATGTCTGCCAGCATAAGTAATAAGCAGGCTAAGTTACAAGCTGCTCAGTTCAAAAATTAGTAGGTAGGTATATTACTTTTCAATATGTGACACGTAAAAATTAACAATAATCAAAAACACATCTACGAAACATCCTATTTATTTATTTATTCTTTATTGCACCAAATATTTGTACAAAAGGCGAGCTATCTATTTATTTACCTATAGTGAATAGGTATTTTTTAAACTCACAATTTTCAATGCTTCATTTTAATATATAATTAATTATAAAATTTCATAATTAGATAATATATGAAAATACATAATTCTAATATAATGCAACTAATATACCGAATAAAAAAATTAAAATACATTTATCGTTGTACGCTGTGTGTATTTCCATAAATTAGTTCATTGATGTTGAAAAAATAATATTACGTTCGTACCTACAATAGGTGGTGGCGTCTTACATATTTCAAATAAGCAATATATTGAAGCGAGCGGCGCGCCGCCGGCAAATTGCTCAAGGTCGTTCGCATGGAGTAGCCCCTTAAATGAATCCTAGAGTAATTAATGAACCACTATAATTTTTATATAAATTTTTTAAAACCGAATATGACAAAAACACTTTTAATCTATCGTTTTAAATTTTCGCGTGAAAACGCTAGCCGCCATACTGTTCAACTCGTGACGTCACTGTCCTAGAATTTTGATAATTTTGCAAAGGAATAAGATACTTTTGAATGTTTAATAATGAGTTCATGATCTATATCATTGTTGTGCCTAAAACATTGCCTAATTGCACAAATACGAGCATAAGAACGCCGGGGAAGTTATGGGTTAAAGTGCCATCTGATTTAAATTTGAGAAATACATGGTTAAACCTGGCAAGAAGAGACCCGAAGGCATTGTCTACAAAATCTAAACTATACTTCTGTGAAGATCACTTTGATGTAAGAATGACTTATATTTAACCATCGATTAAACAAAACAAAACATCATCACATGATAGGTACCTATTGCAAGTCAAATTTTGTAATAGACTAGGTTAATCGCTCGTCTGTCCCGCCCTTTGTGGGCCATTTTGATAGCCATTGCAAATGCAGTACAGTGTTTTACTTAATTCCTATTTTCTTCTATTATTTGGGAATACAGACATGGTTTGTACACAGACCAAATAAAAAAGTGCCTTTTTATTTCGTCTGAGTGTTTGTACAAAATATATAACAAAAAGTTTTTCTCACCAAGCTTATATTATAATATCTATAAAATTAGTGCTAAAAGCGAAGTAATAAACTCGCTTTTACGAATCTGTCTTCCATGATGCCTTTTCAATAAAATTCGGAATAAAAGTCAACAATCGTAATAATAACTTGGAAAATTTCGTAATTAGCTATTTAGTACACAGCACATAACCTAGTTCTTTGACCTAGTGACGTCACGACGCTATCTAATATGGCGGACGTCGTTTTGCAGATTTGAGGCACAGAAAAAAAAATCTTTAAATTGAAATATAAAACTTATAATGCATTTTTATAAATAGAAATCAATATTTCTCTTTTTACAAAATCTATCATAAATATATATTTTTTGATTTTTTTTTACATTGTGTAAAATACCCTATTGTGTTTTATTATTAATGTGGTTTTAAGTTGTAATTAGTTTAATTATTTAAGGAGATTGCTTCCGATAAATCCATCATAACGACCGTCTACATCGTATATATAAAACTTATGTATCTGATCACTATTGAAAGTCGGAAATAACGGTATAATTATTACTTCATTTTGTAAACTGGATGCGTGAGTACTAATAACTCCAAATGGTTCGTGACGTTTAAAATTCGCAAAACATTCGTTTGTTTTAGAAGGACTTATTAATAATCTAGAACTCCCGGAATCAATCATAAATTTAGAATTAATTTCGGGTATTTTTATATATGGTAATTTTAATTTAGGGTTACAATTTATGTGTATTATCTCTGGGTTTGATTCGAGGCTTCTATTTGAAAATTTTCGATTTCGTTTGTTAATTCTTGTTCATTATATTCGGGTATTTCAGGGTTTTCGTAATAAATAATTTCGTCTTCCGTTTGCGTGTGGTCTACGTCACAGTACTGGGTGTTGCCATAAGTATCGTCACCGTTTTCGTTAAGCGTGTATAATTCGTTCATACAAAAACCTTGAGGTTTCACAGGTGGGGCTGTACGTATGCTTACATCGTTTGATTGAAATTGTGGTCGTTGTAAATGAGGTGGTGGTCTATAACCAGTGGGTTGGTGACCTTGGTTAAAGTTTGGTCTATATTCAAACTGTGGTGTTATACCTATTTGCGGCTTCTATCCCATGGGTTGTTGAGGCGGTTGTGGCCTAATTCCAAATTGGTGGAGTTGCTGTGTTGGTAACTTAATTTGCTTGCTTGGCGGTATTCCAAATTTAAATCTTGGTTGAAATTGCATATTATGTTGGGGTTGAAATTGCTGAAGCTGCTGAAGGTGAGGTCTCGTGTGCGGTGTGTTGTGGGGTGTGCATATTTTAAAACTTTGTTGTGGCATTTGTGTGTTTTGTGAGAAAAATGGTTTCCTTCAAAATTTGTCACTAAAGGGATTTTGAGACACTGGTTGAGGGTTATGTTGGGCGTTATATTTATGTGGGCGTTGTATATATATACAGGGTTCTTTTTCAAAGCGTCAGGGGTGTCACTTCCACTATGGAAGGTATGGAGCACTCCATACCTCAAGTTTTTCAAGGTATGGAATTCCATAGCTGAAATTAGGAAATAAATCGCATATTACTACAAACCCCATATAAATAAATCGCAAGCCCTTAAACCTCAATACCCCACATCTTATAGTTCAATAAATAAGTTGAGTATATACACTGCAAACTCTTAAACCTTAATACCCCACGAGTAATGCGAACAAATTTGAAAATCGCGCCACCATTTTCCATACCTCAGATTTTTACAAAGTGACACGCCTGCAAAGCGTAGCCAAATTTTCAACTTAAGTTCAAATATATAAATAATGATACACCGTTATTGTAGTTTTTGATGATATGAGTAAATATCTTCTATCTTTATTTGAAATTATCTCAAATGGGAATTGATTTACGGCCAATAACGTGTTTGCCTACCGATCGACCGAATGTGTGCGTGCGCAGTAATATCAGTGAATATAATACATTACCACGCATTTTCAATTTAAAAAATAAAAATTATATTTTCTTTATCATTTGCCTATATTACTTATTTTGAACTTTCTCTGCAAACTTGGCCGGTTATTGTAAAATAACCCTATATAATATATAATAAAAAGGTATAGTAAAAGATATGAAACTTTCATAGAAGACAAAGATAAATAATGTTCTTATACTCGTTTTTTGGACAATGGCACTGTTTTGAATTCTTGAATGGGAGGAGGTATTGAATTCCAGAGTCTTACTGCATGTACCGAAAATTAACGAGAATATGAATGAGCTTAAAGGTATGCAAATTTTGGGAGGGTTTTAATGTAAGATCTACAAGCTGCAATTAAGAAGGGTAAATCGATTACGGAGATGCAAAGGGAAATTAAGACTGTGTACTTTGTTAGAAAGAAGACAAATGATACGAGTGTTTCTGCGAGATCGGATCGGGTGCCACTTGAACTGATTTCTGTGTTTAGAGACGTAGTCAAACTTCTTGAGTCCGAAAATATACCGAATGCAATGCAATGAATTTTCATAGGACGTCGATTCAGCCGCGCAACTAGATCTAGAGTTTTACTGTACGCGTAAGACCGCGTGGATTTATATTTTGACAGAGTAGAACGCCTGCGTATGGCTACTTGTTGTGTGTGGTGGCCCGTGTTGCTCAATGCTTTTAGGCAAGTCCTAGAATCAACCTATCCAAAGAAAAAAAAGTGGCCTTTGAACATTTGTGCTACATGGCGATTTCAACAGCTTGTCACTGAAAAGCTGCAGGTGCAGCCAATGCCGTACTGAAAATCATCGGTGCTTGCAGCCATTTTATGTGTTTTAATGTCAATGTGGATGTGACCATTAACATAAGATAACTTTTTTTTTAATTTAATACACAGTATATAACCGTAAGTCATAATTTGTATTAAATTGTAACTAAAATTTATTTGCATTGTAATTTAAAAATAAATATGTATATGTCAGGATTTAATTTTTATCTCTCGATATTTTGCTTTCCCAAATTATTATTTTTTTCTCGATATTTTGTTAATCGTTAATCGCCATTTACCTTAATCGATTTAACATTGTCAAATTCAAAATCAAACTGTAACTGTCATATTTATTTAAATATGATCCGCACCATGCATGCTACCATAGAACATATATATGGTCTGTATAGGACAGTTACTATACTAGAATCTACTAGTTAGTAGTTAGTCATAGTATATTATCTATAAGTTCGTCTGTCTGTGTGGTGTGTACTATACCACAAACTAGTAAGAAGTGCTAGCGCGTACTATACTCTTAGGATATGGTATACTACATTTTTTTTTGGAGATTATGGCCTGGCATCTAGACCTTTAGGCCATGGTATACTACAACGTAAATCAGGCCATAGATAAATATATATGAATCAGGCTCAGAAGGGCAGAACCCAGAGCCGTAAAGTCATTTAAAAAAAACCCCAACGTAAAGATTATACATGCTGAAATTATAAATAAAAATTATTAAAATATAAAAAATATGAGTTCTAATAAAAATGACGATCCTATTTCTGACAAGATATTAAATATCGCTAAAAAAAATCCGAAAGGTATATCTGATAAAGATATAATAGCTGCAGTGCCTGATCTTTCTTCTGCTGAGCTAGTGGCAGCAATTAATAAACTACTGCAACAAGGAGTTTTTGATTTATTTAATCAAGGAGGTTCTCTTATATACAGGTAATTCAACTTAATGTTTTATTTATATTCAAAGTTTTCAAATAATCAGATAAAATGAGTTGATGTGGTACAGTTAAATTAGGTATTGTATTTCTGAAAATATATTTATGTATATTAACCAGTTAAATTGTATATTATGTTAACATATAATATCTATTGAATTTGAGGTTAAAAGCTCAAACTTCAAAGCAAGCTGTAAAGGGTGCTGATAATGAAGAAAAAGTTGTTTACAATTTAATTGAAGAAGCTGGTAATAAAGGAATATGGATTCGAGACATAAGAGTGCGCTCTAATCTTGCCAATACACAGTTGACAAAGGTCCTAAAAAGTCTTGAAAGTAAGAAAGTCATTAAGGCAGTTAAATGTGTTAATGTAAGTAGAGAATTAAATAATGAATGTATTTTAGATTTAGAGATATATTTTTTACCAATCAAGCAGCTAAAGTGGTAATCGGGCGTATAATTTGAAGACCAATAGCAATTGTAATAACAGTGATCTCTTATTATATAGTAGCCAGGTTGTTATTTGTTAGTGACTTAGGCACTTGAATTTTTAGGGACTTTACATCCTGTGGGTGTTGTAAGATGCGACAGAGAGAATCTGTGAACCAGGGGATAGGCAGCAGCATCTTCCTGATAACAGCTGAATAAATAGAAACTGCGTTTGTCAAGCAACTTACCAAACATGGGAACTGTATCAGATATCCTCCCTATGAGGCAATCTATGGGGAGAGGCCTATAATGGTAAAATTATTGTAAATATGGAAGGTCTTTGATAAGATTTTGATTTGTGATATATTTTAACAAGTATGATAATTACATATAATACACTGATGGGCCTCTCCTGTCATGGGAAGGATTTGCCATTAGCATCAGTTGGCAGGGATTCTTTGATGTATTGGTCCCCATCCCTGGTCTGAGGATTTACATCACCTGACATTTCAACATATAATATTTTAGAGTAAAATTGAAAAAAATGTAGGATATCAAACTGTGATGCTATGCTAAAGACTTTGTTAATACATATTATAGAATCTTTTGATATCTATATACTTGTATAAAAGTAAGAACACTATTATATTTTTTCCATTAAATTAGCTTTATACTTCTTACATAGTTTATTGGTTGAAAATTTTTCATTTTATACTAAATAATAAGGTAGCAAAGTCTATTTTACATTGTTATTACCAATGATTATGATTATACTTTGAAATTACATTCGACTATTTGAAAACTTCTTTTATTACTAGGCAAGAAAGCCATAATTGTTGTTATACTGCCTATTAATTTCAAATAAATGAATGATATTTCTCATAATACTCTTACGATGTTTATAACTAGTTTGTTGTAGATGTGTTTACCAAATCAACTTGTGAATAAATGAATATGTGTATACTTTAACAAGAATGAAGACATACCAGAAAAATAATTTTCCTTAATGCTTTTATACCTAATTGTTCATTAGTAAAGCCCATCACAGTCGATTGCTGAACATAGGCTCTTTCCCAAGGAATGGCACAAAGCACAGTTCTGAGCCTCCTGTAATATAGCCCTCCATAGCTCGCTGAGTGAGATTGAGCCAGCAGTGAAGGACCATGTCTCAGACATATAAGCCATCACTGGCAACACATACGGATTTTATAATCTCGTTTTCAAGTTTTAAGATATATCTAATGAGAACATCTCCCAACTATTACTGGCATAGGTGTGACAAATTTGTTACACATAACCTTTTTTTTGTCCATGTTCGTCTTAAGACCTAATCGTTGATAGACACTATTCAGGTCGTTGAGCATGGTGCTTAGATCCTCCAGCGATTCTGCTATTGCCGCCAAATCCAAAGTGAGTGATATACTCGCCATTGATGTTAATACCATATCCTTACAAGTCCAGTAGCTTGAAAACATCTTCCAATAGAATAGAATAGAATAGAATAGAATGATTTTTATTCAATATGGATTATTACATAATACTTATTGAAAGTCATTATTTTATTTACCACTGGTTCGGAAAATACCTCTGTCCTGGGAAGAACCAGCAAGAAACCCAGCGGGACTTTTTTTTTTAAACATAATTTCACTTAACAATAATTTTGTTTATACAATTTTAAATGAATTTTCATAGAACCAGCATGGTGGCGATCACCTTATTCCCAGGGGTTATTTTCATTCATGTATTCCTTGATATTATAATAACCCTTTTTGTACAGTTTTTCTTTAATAAAACTTTTAAACTTGTTTATTGACAAACTTTGTACATGTTCTGGGATTCTGTTGTAAAAGCGTATACATTGCCCCATAAATGAATTACTAATTCTGTGGAGTCTTGTAAGTGGCATTACAAGCTTATGTTTGTTCCTAGTGTTTAAGGTATGAACATCCTTATTCTTATTAAAGCTATTTATGTTTTTATGTACATACATTACATTTTCATAAATATATTGCGATGCCAAAGTTAATATGTTTATTTCTTTAAATTTTTCTCTAAGGGACTCTTTACAATTTAGATTATAAATCGCCCGTACAGCTCTCTTTTGCAAAACAAATATAGCTTCAATATCAGTCGCATTACCCCATAGCAAAATTCCATAAGACATTACGCTATGAAAATAACTAAAATACACTAACCTAGCTGTCTCAACATCTGTGAGACTTCTAATCTTTCTTACAGCATATGCTGCAGAACTAAGTCTGCTTGCTAATTTAGATATATGGGGGCCCCATTGAAGTTTCGCGTCAATAGTAATACCGAGAAAAACAGTGGTATCCACAAGACTCAACTCCTCCCCATTTAGGAGCAAATTGGTTTTCGAATGTTTTACATTAGGTATTGTAAATTTAATACATTTTGTCTTATTGCCGTTTAAGAGCAAATTGTTGGCGTTAAATCAATGTACTAGTTTCGATAGAGCATTATTTACATCGTCATATTTAATTGACTGCCGTTTCAGTTTGAAAATTAAAGAGGTATCGTCAGCAAATAATACTATATCGTGGTTGTCCCCTACAAGATAAGGTAAGTCATTAATATAGATTAAGAACAGGAATGGGCCAAGAATCGAGCCCTGAGGAACGCCCATTGATACTACTGATCCGGAGGAACATTTACCATTAATGACGACTTTTTGATTTCTGTTACTTAAATATGAAGTAATAAGTTTAAGCGCCAAATTTTTTACACCGTAATGTTGTAGTTTCTTGATTAAAATCAATGCAGCGGTGAAAAGTTTCGGGGATATAACGTCACTCTCTCTTACAGCTTTCTGCAGTTGGATATGTTACATACTCTAGTTATGTAGATAGCCATCATAGCCCTACTCTATAAACACTTCAGCTCTTCGATATACCAACAGTCAACTTGGCACTGCTGAAGGGACTGTAGCACCGCCCTAAATTTGATGGAATCAAAGGCTTTCTAATAGTCTATATACGCAAGGCAAAGTGGCAGATTGTAGGTTTCGTAATGACTCTTGAAAACAGCACATAGATGTGGGTCAGAAGGGAAATCGGTCTGTAGGTCTTCAAGAAGCACTGTCGCCTTTCTTGAAGAACAAGACAACCGCACTTCTGCTCCACGCCTCCGGAGTAGTGCTACCATGGAGGACATAATTAAAGAGCTTCTGAAGGACTTTGAGTACTTGTTTTCAACCCGCTTTCAGAAGCTCTGCTGTAATTCCATCCTCGCCCGGGGCTTGCCGCTTTTAAGGTGCTGAAGAGACATTCTAATCTTGCTGAGACTGATATCTGGTATATCATCGGACTAGTGTCATATAACACTTGCTGGAACATTACTCACACTTGCGTGTGGCTACAATAATGACGTGTACAGCTGCCCATTTAACCGCTCAATCTCATTAAGAAACTATGGTGTCCCGGAAACTTCTTCAATATGAGCTGTATTGATTGTATGTTCTTTTTTGTTTTGGAACGAAGTTCCTTATCGGACGGTACGTATTTGGCGGATGGGGGCTAGGTGATAAAAAGTGTAAAATTTTTCCGTCACGGCCCCTTCTGACTTAGTGTAGACCCCCTCACGCTTTTTCTTATCTTGTCATGAAAGAAACAAACATTCGGCGACACATACTTTTTGAGAAAATAAATATTGAAAATCAACTATTTTTGCAATATTTATGTCAATTGCTACCGTAAAACTGACGCTATTTTTTATTGTCATTGTCAGTAGGGATGTCGATTCTTTCCGAAAAAGATCGATTTTTTAAATCATTTCGAATTGTAAGCTGATTCGATTCACAAAAATTGATTTCTAAATATTTTTATTTTTTCATGTTTGCATTTATAATGTATTTTCCTCGCCTTCGCAGATATTTTTCTGTAAAAAAAATATCAACCCCCAACTCGACGTCAATGGAAAGTCGTACCGCGGGATCCACTGGAGGTAGATTTGTAGAAAATTGTTAATTAGCTTTCCAATCGAAGAGTACAAGAGAATACCACGAGGAAATGGATGCAGAATAATTACAATTTAAAATTAAAAATGTTGTACAACCGACTTCAAATTCTTAAATTATTAAGAATAACTCAAAAACTATTACTGTTGTATGCTTAAAAAACGTTACCCCCTAGGATTTTCTCCTGTATCGTGAAGGCAGTTTACAAACATAAATTGCACAAGGACAAACATCCAGACCCGGAACAATTATTTGTAGGCCATACAAATACTTGTTCCGTGCGGGATTCGAAACCGCGGACCCCAACGCAATAACTCATTGCTAAGCCACTGCGCCACGGAGCCCTCAAATTATATTAGTCAGACCTTGATCAAATTTATATGGGATTACATGAGAAAAACCAGCTTTCAAATAAAAAAAGAATCATCGAAATCGGTTCACCCAGATAAAAGTTATGATGTAACATACATAAAAAAAAACATGCACGAGTGTCATGGAACACTCGGTTGGAACGAAGTTCTTTTCGTAGTATTTTAGTATTTATAAACGTATTATATTATTGATTAACAAATACAAATAAGTGAATTACTAGCATCTATTAAAATGAAGCGTTATTTATAATAAAATAATATTGAACATTTTTACCAATTATTTGAATATTTTTACCGATTATTCGCATAACAATGAATTTTAATCATTCAAACACTACGGTAAGGTACATGGCGGTATATCATTGAAACAACGTCAGACAAAAAAGTTGACTCTGGCTATTTTTTTATATTTTACTTTTTCTGAAAGATTCGAACTTGAATTAGTGATAAAGAACCATATATGTTGTAATGAAATATGGATAACTACATAATTCTTTAGATTTACGTAAAAGGTTATTTTAAATCTTTTGAGTACGCTTGTACAAAGTTATTGCGGAATGATTAATGTGAAACGTCAAAACGTGTTTCTTAGATTTGGTTGAGTATAGATACTTATATTTAAGCGTTTTAGTTTAGTATAGCATAGGTATTTACATAAACACTCACACAGAGGGGTAGGTAGAGACTACCGACTTCCATTTGACACGCTCCTGGCACACTTCTCTCACATCTTCCACATCCATATACCTACTCATACTTGCTCGTCGGTTAAGGGTACTCTTACTTTGGCCCATTTTCAACATGTCCCCGATTTGGTCGATAAACTTTCGTAGGTATTTATTAATGCTAAAAATAATAGTTCACCAGGTTAAAAACAACAAACAACCAGGAAAACATGAGTATCCCAGTGACGAGAGGTCTGGTTTGAATCAATTTAGAAAAAATAAGTTCGAACTCAATATGTTGTTGATAGAAATTGTGACAGCCATGAGTCGCCATAAATATCTAAACTTTTTAGCAACCACCTTTTTACATATTTATTTTGAATTAAAAATATTTTTTTCAGGCATCCAAGAAAAAAGTGTATATGCTTTATAATTTAGAACCAGACAGATCTATTTCTGGAGGAGCATGGTATCAAGACCAAGATTTTGAATCTGAATTTGTAGACATACTTAATCGTCAGTGCCTTAGATTTTTACAACAAAGAGCAGATAAAATTAAAAATAATCCAAAAGGCCCCATCTTAGGTAGAACACAATCGTTTGCAACGGCAGTAGAAGTGCAAAAGTATATAACTGACTTAGGAATAAGTAATGTGAGTAATTCAGATTGAAGCAAGAAATAAATATTGAATTATTTACCTAATTATATTTATAATTCATATATTTATTTTATTTTATAGGTAAAATTAGAAGTAGAAGATGTTGTAACTATTCTGAATACATTGGTGTATGATGGCAAAGCAGAAAGCAATGTTTACCCTGATGGTAGCAAAGTTTATAGAGCTATTGAATCTCTAATACCTCCACCTGGGTTGGTGCAGGTGCCTTGTGGAGTTTGTCCACTTGTATTTAAATGCTGTTCCACTGGACTTGTAACACCGCAAGACTGTAAATATATGGATGAGTGGCTTGAAAATTAAAATAATGGAAACTAAGAGGGGTGTAATTTCAACCCACTAAACTATATTTAGGAAATTTTGTACAAAACGTTTTATTGAATCTACTGTAGTTAATTTAATGCCAAAGGTAATAAATAATTCATGATAAATTGGTTGCTGCGGAAACAAATTAAATGTGTGCAGTCACGTCTTGGAAACCATGCTCACATAAGTCATTGTTCATATTGTCGATGCCATGCGATAGTATGTTTTATTTTCTATATCAACATAATATTTTAGTTGCGGCAAATCCCTCCATTCTCCACGAAAATGTTTTTGAAGTAAATCACAAACATCTTTCACCTTGGCTTCTTTCGATAGTATAGTGTTTGGTGATATCATTAGTGTTATAATCATTGTTAGTTTTTTGTTTTTCTTTGTTACAATTATTTTTATTAATTTCATTGCCCTAAGTTTCTTCCCCTAGCACCTATATACTTTCTGTTTTAGTACGTGTAAAGAAATATCGTTTGCTCCTCGTGAATGGAAAATGCCAGGATGCTGTAGGTTTTATCACGGGATCATAAGCAGCCTTCCAATCGTAAACTGGTATCGTTGTCAGATTGGTGCACGTTCCATTTTCTTGCAAAACTTCGGTGTATTCCGAAGGAGAAACAACCACTTCTTTGTTTTTAATCTCCTCTCAATTTTTGCGTCCTACCACTGGAAAAATAATCCAATTTTTTTTTACATTCCGAGCTGCTTCACCGTGCAACCATTTACCTAGCATACTAACCATTCCTGTATTTTTATTTTTGCCGGAGCATCCATAACACACTACTGTTAGTACCTTCACGTGTGAATCTATGACGGTTCCTTGCAAGAAGTGGTCAACTGCACTAATAATTTGGTTGCTGCTCACAGCATAATCCAACTCAGTCCAATAAAAGGAACGCACATTTTCTTTTGTCAGTTTTGCTTTTGAATTTACTTGTACTATGGCGAAATGGTAGAAATCAAATTGCCTCCTAAAATAAGCCGACTGATCGGCCAGTTTCGGAAGCGGTTGGTTTTTTGGCAATCAAATGTAATTGTTAAAATATCTTCATTTTCTTCTTTTATAATGTTATAAAAAGCTTTGTACTTTAACCTGTGGATCCTCTTTTTTATTATTAATTCATTTCTCTTTATAGCACTTTTTTCATCTGTTCTGGGAGACCCAAAATCAAAGTTGTACGAATTATTTACAATTTTTCTAAAAGAACTTTGCTTTACTTTTAAGTCTTCATCTTTTTCTTGGTTGTACATCCGCCACATCTTTCGATATTCAATCCTGATGACAAATAAATTCTGTTTGTTTGCGATCTGCAATTGTGACTCTCGATCCCTTTAAATTTTTCCAAAAACCATTGTACTGACCTCTTCGCTTCATATTGTTCACTTTTCCGATCTCCTCCTCTATTTTCTTTTAATGAAGAACCATCGGTCAAATAAAAATGGTTCGTCACCCCCTGAACCCTATCTTTCTTTATTTGAAGCGAGTCCAAAAATGTTTTTTGACATACCGGTTTTCGACCACCTCCACTGACAGGTATGTTATACTTAATAGTTAATTTCCTATTACTGTTTGGATTATTTTTGGTGGTTTGATTGACTAGACAATATTGTAACAAAAATTGTCTTGATCGATTTTGGTTTTACATTTATAAAAATTTCTATGAAATTTTCGGATGTCTTGACAAGAAAGTAGGTTTCACCGAAAATCTGTATGATTATGCTCGCAAGAAAGAAACAAATATTAAAGTAAAAAGTTTAAATAACTGTGCCATTGACATCTATTTCATTTACCTATCATACCCAATTTTTTTAGACAAAGTCAGTATACTACTCAAAACAAAAAAAGGTTCACCTCAACTCTGTGTTTTTCTTAAAATAATAATTAATTTATCATCATCATCATCATCATTACTTACACTTACCATCAGGTGGACTGTGTGCTCGTTTGTCACCCTTTCCTATAAAAAAAAATCTTCTAGGCACTGAAAACGGTTTCGTAGCTCGAGCTGACAGGTTTCGGGACTGGATTAGAGCACGAGGGGGACGGAGCGTTGACTTCATTAGACGTGACCTCTCCAACTTAACGTTTAGGTTCAGTGTGCCTGTCACCATTCGGTGATCGCTGCCGGTTTTCACCCTCGCGATTACTGTGACATCACTGAACAGTTGTCGTCTGGTCGTTATAATGAAGTTAATCTCATTTTTTTGTCGAACCGTCGGGGTCCACTTCCTGTGGGGCCGCTTTTGGAAGAAAGAGTTCATCATAAAGAGTCCCCCTTTCTTCATGAAGTCGGCTAGCTGCTGGCCCCTTCGGTACCGTTGCCCTATTCCGAATTTCCCTACTTTCAGCTCACTGTTCTCTCTTGTGCCTAGTTTTGCGTTGAAGTCTTCCATTAACTCCGTATAGTGGGTTTTGGAGGAATGCATGGCTCTAGAGATATCCTCATACATTTCCTCCACCTCCTCATCGGAGTATGCTGAGGTTGGTGCGTAAACTTGTATGACCATCAGCGAATACCGTTTGGTGATTCTGAGTATAAGGTACGCAACCCTCGTCGACACACTCCCAATCTTTACAACGTGTTAACGACAGACTTGTGGACGATAAATCCGACACCTCCTTGGAACAGATGGTCGCCGGTCGGCGGACGGTCCCGGTGATAGAACAAGTTGCCGGATTCGAGGATTACTGTGTCCCTCCCCCTCTCTTCGGACCTCGGATAATCCTATGATATTCCAGCCCAACTTGTTTATCTCTTCTTCCAGCTCCAGGATCTTCTCGTCAGTCCTCAGGGTGCGTGCGTTATAAGTTGCCAGGTAGAGTCGTCGTAGGTGGCAACCGAACCCCCACCGGAGATTCTTAGCACCCCCTGCCCCGCCGTTACCATGGTCGCCACCGTAGGCAGGCATAGCGCGGCCGCCGGGGACTGGGGGCGTTTATTAATGTCATTGCTCATGGCTCATTATATTGCCATAGTTGCCACGCTTGGCGAGCGGGTTGGCAACCGCAGTTTTTTTTAATGTTGTTTTTCTGTTATCAGAAAGATGCTGCTGCCCATCCTCTGCCTCAGTTTCCCTCTGTCGCCTCTTACGACACCCACGGGAAGATATGGGGTAGTGAGTATTCTTACCCGCCACTACACGAGGATTCATTTAATATTTTAAAATGTATTGCAGGTATAATAAATAAAACAGCGTTTGTCTACATAATTATTTATTTAAATTTTTATTTTTCCATTTTTTCTTGTACTTATTTAGAGATTTTTTTTGCATTGGCAGCAAATTAAATTTTTCGGACCTCATTACATCGGTCCCTTTTAATAGTTTATTGATTACAGTGCACCAATTAAAAATGTAGAGTTTAATAGTGCACCAATTAAAAATGCAGAATTTAATAGATATTTTCAAAAAAATTTCAAGAACTATCGTTACAATCGAGAAATGAAAATGAATATTTGGAACTTATTTCCTTTTTTATTCTTTCACTGTTATTTTGATATCCATGTTGTTCCAAATATTCATTTGTTTTTAATACATTTCCAAAACTACTTACAACATTTTCGGATGGATATATTAGTTTTATAGTTTTTTTTTTTGTTTTAGGTATATTCTTTTTGTTTACCAAAATCATGAATATTGCTATCTTCCGACAGCAAACTATGTTTGCATTCTTCGCGATTGATTTTAGATAAAATTTTCCTGGTTTCCCATCAAGCCGTATATGTCCTTGAGTGTATATTAATCCTTTCTCGTCTTGCATGTTCTTGAATATTTTCTACAGCAAAGTCTACAGTTTTACTCATTTGTTTCATTAATACTTACTTGCAATACTTCCTTGCTCCATACTTCCTTGCAATTATAACTCTCCGAATGAAAGCTTATAAATCAGGTTACCAATAATAATTTGAACGTATATATGAATGAATAAGCAGTTGGGTCATTACTCCAGTAATTGTATGCTCGTACTTGGCCAAAAAAGTTCTCTATTATGTCAGAGTTGAAGTATCTAGGCCTCATAATTTTGATGTTTTTTGAGGCCAATAACTCCCACACCCTTTTTAAACTTTTGAGAGTGATGATTCAATTTTTTAAGGAAGGTACACCTTTTAGTGTGCCATCTTTGCAAATAAATTTTATTGGCTTTGTTCTAAAACTCGTGATAGGCTGATTTAAGTGTTACTGCCTTGCGCAGATTTTTTCCTTTCGGTATTTTCTCATTTGTGCTCGCTCCATTGACACTATCAAACAAGTCTTCAAAAAACGATACAGCTGCTGCTGCGTTTTTCAACGTTTTACTTACAGGATTTTCATCTGGATATAGAGCTAAAATTAGGAAAAAATACCGATTTAAATTTACGCCGAAAAAACTCCATTGAAAGTAAAGCGCTACATTAAATTTAAAAAAAAAACTTGGCCAGTGCGTGTCGGGCCACGCACAATGTAGAGGTAGGGTTCCGTAGTTGCCCGTGACACTACGCGGGCTTTCTTGATAATAAGCATAATAAGTGAGTTCGCGGTTTGACCGCTATAAGGTTGGGGAGTTCTTGCCTGGGCTGCGGTCTTCGCCTGATGAGAGTACGCATGCGATCCCCGATTGGAATTGGCGTAAGGCAGACTTTCAAGCTCTATATACTGCGTTAGCTAAATTAGATTGGTCCGAGTTAATGACTTTTACAGACGTAAATTCGGCCGTAAATTTTTTTTACAACAAATTGAAGGAAATTATTAATTTATATGTACCAAATAAAAAGCTTTCTCCAAATCATCGTCAGTATGTCTATCCGAAGTGGTTCACGCCTGAGATCATAGAAAATATAAAAAAAAAATATTTTCATCTTAAGAGATTTAAGCAAGAAAGCAAATTATTTAACAAAGAACTGTTTAGCTTTTATCGATGGAGGGTTAAAACCTTAATTGACAACGCATATGAGCAGCACCTTAAGTTGATACAGAAAAGCATAATTGACGATCCGGTATTTTTTTGG